AGCGAGTCTCCTGCCTCCGCCTCCCAAGTAGCTGGGACCACAGGTGCCCGCCACAACGCCTGGCTATTTTATTTGTTTGCAGCTGTCATTGTTGTTTGGTGGGCCCAGGCTGGATTCGAACCTGCCACCTTAGGTGTATGTGGCTGGTGCCTTAGTCACTTGAGCCACAGGTGCCAAGCCCACATTTTCTTTAGAAAGTGTTTCTGGGTCATATTGTTCTAAATCATCCAATTAGAAGACACAGACCTATGACTGCATCAGAGCTCCGATAAATTTTGAATAATGTGGAAAGTAAATGTTTTCATAGCACAGTACACTCATCATAAGAGGCTTTTAGAAATGAAGTTGTTTTTTCTTTCTTTTTTTTTTGGCGTGGAAGCAACTTTTGGCTCAGTGATTTAAAAGAAGACCATGGTTAGAACCCTTGATTCTTCTTCTCATTTCTTTTTCTAAGGCACTCTGGAGTGGCGTTATCAACAGTTCTTCTGATATTTTCAGACTGGTGAAGTTAGTTAGAAATGAAGGCTGGAGAAGATTCCCAGCTGATTTGCTTTTGTCAACAGAACAAGGTCATTCAAGACACCCTAGACGGTGACATTTTGCAAGCCTCTACGGCTTCTAAGAGAAAGCAAAAAAAAAGAGAAATTACCACTAATGTTGCCTTGAACACACGGCCGCCATACAATCGCAGGTCACTGAGAAACTTGAGATAATGGACCTTGGCTTGCAGTGCAGAAAGCTGAGGAGAGAAAAGAAACCTCAGGTGTTAACTCCATCAGGTGTGACTCCATTGTAGCTGGAGACCAGCTGAAAATAAGGGCAAAAATTTGAAGGATGATTTTATTGTTGAAGAGATGGGGTGTGACAAAGAGTCGTCATTAGGCACGGAAGTAAATTGCTATGTATTTGGTGTCCTATACTTGATCTTAGCCAAAAGGCCAAGAAGCCATATATTTGGTTTTCTGATGAAAGACTGCAACTTGACATCAAGATACAAATCTTATTAATTTGGGGGGGTAATGTATGGGGGGATTCATGCACATGGAGATGCTAGGCCAGGGCACTCGCAAAGTGAGAGCAAAACCGTAAAATGTTCCATTGAAACACATGCTCACTGGAAGCCCTCCTGAGGTGGGTGGTGCTTTCCACTTGCGATCAGGGACAAAGGGGAGTTGTCTATAAATTCTCCATAGCACTAGAGATCCACCTGAACGTAGAGCTTGTGGGAGCTGTTCTGGAATTTTCTCCAGATGAAATTTATCTTTGTAAAGACTTTAAAGTGTTGATCTCCAGAAAGTATTTGATTAAAAAGTCCATGTTTCATACCGAATATGCCAGGGGTGTTTATTAAGGATGAAGTTTTCTGACAAGGGTATAGATCACCATTAAGTAGCAATGACTGAAAAATTCTGTTTTCATCACAGATGACTTGCCAAGTCATTTCTGAACCACCTAAAGGTGCTGCTCTTTGTGTGATTGTTATTTAGCTCCACTTGTCCATCCTACCTCTTTTGGAAAGTAAACCACTCTTGGCTAGAAAAACCAACTTTTCAGAAGGACAGTTATAAGTTATAGATAGATAAGTCAAATAGATTGCACAGCAGTTATCCAAATTATTGCGAGACCAATGGACCAGGCTTGAAAAAAAATTATATCGAGTTATTTCATGGAAATTAACTTCAAGTGAATCAGAAATGAAATTAAAGGAACTCTTGATCTAGGTATATTTCTGTCAGTTGAATGCTGACTGTGGTCAGAGGCCCCCTCCCCATGAAACTGGCAAGTAAGTTGAAGGTATTCACAGTGTGTTGAACTCCATTATATATTTACTTTTAAAAGTCATGAGGTGAGGGGGGAGTGTGCCTTACCCAGTAAAAATGACTTAAAATCAGATACTAAAAGTATTATCCATGTACACAAGTGATTTGTATTAGAGTCACCCAAGTTTCTCTAGCCAATACCAATTATTAATAGAAAGTATTCTTCGGTTGCTAGACTGCTTCCGATTTTATAGGTCCAATATTTTAAGGCTCCTTCTTTCTGGTTCCTAGAATCTTGTGCTTTTTATGACCTATAAAGCAGACCTCTCTTTTCTGACCAGTAGTGACATTTTTCAATGTCCTTTGTGTTTTTTTTTTCCTACTTAATGAGAACAAAGACAAAAGCAGAAAAGATTCTAACACTAATGATGGTGAGTGTTTATCTTTTCTCCAAAAGTAGGAGTTAATCCAGTTGATTGTTAATAGGGGTGACTTCGCTCCCCAGAGCTTGTTTGGCAATGTCTGGAGATGTTTGGGTTTGTCACAGTCAGGGCGTGGCATCTCGTGGGATGCCAGTCACACGCGCCCAGGGATAGGGCTAAACATCCTACAGTGCACAGGATAATCCTGCCCACCCGCCCCAAGAAAGAAGGATCTGTTCCCAAATGTCAATAGTGCCACAGCAGAGAAACTCTGGTTTGATTAACGTGGCATCTGGCCTGCAGCTGGTGTGAGGGCTAAGCAGGAACGGGATGGGTCACAGGGTCTCAGCACTTATGCAAGGTTCTCCCGCCTGGGCACGTGAACACACACCTCCTCCTGCAAGAGGGAGGCTGTAACTTGTGAGAAATAAATAGGTTTCCATTCGAATACTTATTTCTCATTAGACTTAGAAACATGTTAATAGTTAAAAAGTTGTACAGTGTTACTGCTTCTGGAAATATGGTGCAAAGTATTTTATTCATGAGCTAATTTTAAAACATTTTAAAAAATGCATGCGAGCCTTTTTCTTTATAATTTTCTATTAAGATGCAAATGCGATACCTTTTTACCCGGTGGTACCAAGTTTTGATTTGCTTTGACAAGGTGTGAAAGTGCCTTCTTTATGTTCTTCTCTTTCATGCTTTGCAGCACAGCAGAGGGTAGAAAAGTCTCTAATCCCCATTCTTTTCTGCAATAAAGAACATGTCTTTAATTTCACATCCTTGTGATGATTCGTTATCTAAGGTAAAATGGCGCTCTGATGTTTACTGGAACAAACGAACCCTTGGTAAGGCAGGGAACGGAGACATGTCCCCAATTAGGGAAGTAACTTTTAATTTACAATCAGGAAACACACTATTTGATCATTAATACATATGTTTGCATTTAAAAAGAAACATTTCTTACCCACTTGAGAAAAAGCTAAGGAGGCATTTGGGGCCAGGGGAACCAGAGGAGACATGTTGTCCAATCCATTTGTGAGTGTCTTAAAATCCACTTACATATCTGACTTTCTAATTTCCAATACCAGTTTCTCGCCATCCCTTTGATTCCCATTCTCCTATCTCCTTGTCTGCTCATAGTCCATCTTTCTCTCTTCTCCTAGGATGGATGACGCTCCTTTGTGCCCCTGAACCATCCTCCCTGTCCCTTTTTCTCCTCGATGGCTGTTTCTCTAAGCATACACAGTTCTGTTTTGCCCCAGCTTGTTTATGTCTAACTCCATCAACATTTCTTGCTTGGGGGGTGAGGTGCTCCTGGTGTGGACTGTGATGGGGCAGTCTGGCCGCCTCTAAGTGTGTCTGGCGTTGATGGGGAGATGTAGACATCACTCATGGGTGTGCAGATAGAAGAAAACAACAAGTGGGACCAGGTTAACATGTTTTTGCCAAGAGCCTGTTTCCTTAGCAATGACGATAACCTTATTCTAAGAAACGTCCATATTTTAAATTCTAGAAAATCTGCCCTAGAATAGAAAACCTATCCTAGGTCATGTGCCCAACCGGTATCTGCTAAATTATGTGAAGACCTTCGAGAAGATTCTGGTTATTTCTCCTGCTGCAGGTCCTCTCTAAAGAAGAGTAGGAAGACAACGTCCCTTTACTTAACTGTTCACATTCTTTACTAGTTAAGATGGTGCTACCGGGATCAGTACGTTCCTTTCCTCTTCCTCAACTCACACTCACTGTCTTTACCCATTGGCTGGCACTCCTTATGGGCTGCCTTACACTTGTATCATTCTTGTAAACAATCACTTTTCATATCTTTATAGCCTATCTTTACAATCAGAACACAAGGTCCTCAATGGCCAGGATTATAATTTATACATTAGTATTTTCTCCTGGCCCAACATCGATGCTGTATCAAATGCTCAATGGATATTTGATGGGAGAAGGAATTTGCAATGTTAGCCAAGCTAGTTATCTCAGAGAGGTTATTAACTATGCAGTGTTCAGCTTGGTAAATTGTGGAGGCAGATAGGCGGGAAAGAAATACATTTTAATTGTCTGAAAATCAGCTCAAGTGGTGCAGGCCACCTTTTCAAATGGCAGCCAGTTTCACCTGTCCCTAAGAGCTTCAAACAGGGAGAGGGGAGGGTGTGAATGTGTCCAGATGAGCACGTGATCTCTGAGTTGAATCGGGCTATGGGCACTGCATGTGTGTGCCAAGAGAAAAAGAGAGAAGCTATCTGAGAGGAGTGAGCCGAGACTCAGAGGTCTGCAGTTAAACTGTGTGTGAGGGTTTGTCCCTAGGCATTAACAGGTGAACTGAGAGTTGCCAGAACAGTGGCCCTGAAGCCAGCAAGTTGGAACGCAAATCTTCCCCAATACAGAATGGATCTGTTGGAAAAAGTCATTTTGCCCCCTTGTGGGTCAACCTGGTATTGTGAAATTTAGAAAGACTTTATAGGCAGCCCATGGGAAGCATCTTTGGAAGGTGAGGTTTAATTAGTTTGTACATAGGAAGGGATCCATGGCATTACGTGGGTTTCCAAACACAGGTGCCTCAGCCTATCACTCAAACTACAGCACAATGGGGCGTCCTGCCGCCTAGGTTTGAATCTTGTGTCCCCTAGTTAATAGCTACGCCACTTGGGCAAGCTACTTACTCATCATGTGCCTCAGTTTGCTTGTCTGTAAAGTGAAGTCCAAATCCTACTAATCTCATGGATGCTGTAAGAGTTAAGTTAATGTGTGAAAAGCACTGATATCAGAGCTGGCTGCGCACAAGGACCTTCAGGAAACCTCAAATGTCCTCTTCATTTTAATTATGAGCCTCATTTAAACCACACTGCTCTAAAGATGGCTTATGTAAGAAATGGATCTCTTCTATCAGAAAGGAACTTGATATTCATACATTTTGCCTTTTGTTAGTGAATGCTCTGCCACAAACAATAATTTTGAAAATAGAGACAAAAATAAAAAATATACCCAGGCATTAAAGAGGCAGCATCTCTGTCTCCGAAATAGCCCTGAGAGTCCACACTTACTCTATGTATTTGAGGGAGATTTTCTGCGTTTGCTTGGTGGTGACGGTGGCGATGTACATTTGCAAGGCTGCCAGCCGCAGGGCTATGTCATATTTCAGCTCTGGCCCAAATCGCTCCTGAACGACATCGTTACAGCTCTGAGGAGAGACCAGCAGGGGGCGTAGCTTGTCAAAGAATGAGAGGAACAGGTGCTAGGCATTTCCCCCAAGTGCTGCAACCTTCGCTTCGCAGGCAAGGAGGCTAAATGTGGAAACGTTTCCACCGCGCTGCTTGGAACCGAGTCAGTATTTAATCGCACGCACAAACACAGAGACCACACAAAACATTTAACAGTCATCGACGAGCTGCTATTTAAATATTTAGCTTTTTGTAAAAATAATTAGGAATTTAGGTATGAAATTTCCAAACACAGGTGCTGCCGTCTAACACCCAGAGTATTGACAGCATAACGTGGCTTCTGGAGGTGGGCTGCCAGGGCGGAATCCTGGGCTGCAAACTCGTTCCTTCACTTCAAAGGGGCTGTGGCCACAGGCAAGTTCCTTAACTGTCTGTGCCTCAGTTTCCTTTTCTGTAAATAGAAGATAATATTGTTCCCTGTTCACAGGGAGTGGGGAGGGTCAAATGAGCATACAATGTAAAGCCCTTAGCACCCCGCCTGCTAAGGTGTGACACTGTCACATGTTAACTACTGGCATCATCCAGCATCACTCTTCTTGTCACCATCCAGAGCAGCTTCAAGGAAGCAGCATAAGCAAGGCACGTGAGGCCAGCAGCTCTGCACTCACCCTCTGCACTGGTGTCCTGGGTTTGCCAATGGCCCCCATGTACATAACTTTAGACCATTTACTTTAACTCTTGCAGCCTTGGTTTACTCATCTGTGCAATGGGGATTCATGCTAATTATCTCAGTGGAGTGGTTCAAGGATCAGATGAGATACATAGTGAGCGCTTTGGGACAGTGCATTGGTATACTGTGTAAAGGTAGCCAGTCAACTCCCGGGCTCATTTCAATGGCAAATGTGGTGTTGAACTAATGCATGAGTTGTGGGAGTCTTTCCACCTCTCTCAGGCTTAGTTTGTTCATCTAGACAATGGGGACTCATATCTCGCAGGGTTTGCTGTGAGGATCAAATTAAAGAGTGGCTGAGAGTGTTATCAAGTGTAAAGTCCTGCTTAAGCCCAGTGATCGCTGTAGAGCAGCGTCCCCACTCACCCGTCACACCGGTCAGGAGAGCCGCTGGAAAACATTGCATTGCTTAGGCGTATTTGACATGTGTGTTTACTCATTTTTGTTATGGGAAGCTGGATTCATAGGCCGGAGAATGATATTTAGCCCCTTTCTTCTTTTCTTTATTCTTTGCCGTGTCCCGGGAAGATTTCAAATGAAAAACTATGTCAGGGTTTGTTTGCTTCCTTTCCGAGAGAAGCACGTTTATATTGCTTCCTATATTGATTTGACTAACGCTGGAACATGTGCCCCCGGATGCCTTCTGCATACGATATTTGCACTGGGAACATTTACACAAGCCGCGCTGGTGCTGTGCCATGCGCACCCTGTGTCCATGTCTGAGCCCATCCCTTCTCTGTCCAGGGTGAAGGCACATTCTCTCTTGCAGCCATCCCTAATAGTGCCTTCCCCCTTTGCTTCTCCTTAAAATCTTAAACCTCTCTGTATTGCATAGCACCCCTGGCTGGACATGGGTCTTTCCGGAGGCAAGAGACAGGGTGGCCTGAGTTAGGGCAGCCTCCTAGAACCATTCCAGGCTGCCATTTTGTTTAGTTGGTCTTGGGTTTGCCAGTTATTTCTGAAGGAAATGAAATTCTACTTTATCCTAAAAATACGCTGACATATTTTGAGATGGTTGTCACAGAGCCAGTAAACAGAAGTAGTCCTGTAAAGTTGTCTTTTATGGAAAAAGTTGTATCTGCAGAAAATCTGTATTGAAGTCAGTTCTTTCTTTGTTCAGATCTGGGAAAGATTAAGTGACAGGCTGACAGCTTTAAAGGTCTAAACAAAACATTTATTCCTGTTCGCTCTGAGGGCTAGTATACACGGCTAGTATTCCTGTTCGCTCGGAGGTTTCATCTACATAATGTGACCACCTTTGCCAGGCAAGCGTTCTCTGCCCTCCCTCCCATAACCCGTCTTGCCACTCGACTCAATTTTAACAGTACAACCTCATTTTAGCCATGCTCTGAGCCTCCATTCTTTCTGGAATCTCAAGATCGTATATAAGCTTCTGCACCCCATTGAGGGCTCCCAGGCACATGTTAATAATTTTGTATGCCTTTTCCCAATTATTCTGCCTGTTGTGAGTTGATTTCTCAGCAAACCTTCCAAGGGCAAAGGGGCAGCTTCCCTCTTGACTCTATATTTCCAAGTGCTCAGGTTGTCCATATGGGCTTCAATGGGTTGAGAGCCTACATCAGGTCATTTTACAGAGTCCTTTGAGAAACGGGGGTGAGGAAGCTATTGGTACAGTGTCAGGTGCAGGCACTTGAAGAATCAATTTTCTGATAAATCATCTTGGTAACTTTCTTCAATGCTGTTGCATGATGGATTGAAGTAGGATTTTAGCATAGAATTTAGAGGCAAAAGCTCCAGGTTTGATGCTAGGCTCTGTCAACAACTAATAAAATGACTTTGGACATGGCATTCCATTTCTCAAGTCTCAGTTTTCTTCTTTGAAAAATGGGTTAACTTGCAACAACAACTAACTTGAGAGTTAACAACTAACACACGGGCCATGATGCCTGTAGGTGTGTTTTATAAAATGGAATGTACTTCATAAAAACGAGCCCTCCCTATTACTCCTCTTAAGAGTTATGGGTGGGACTGTAGCTCCTATCTCTGCTTTACCCTGGATTTAACCAGACTTCTGGGTGAATTTTTTGACAAGGTGATTAGTCACTTAATTACATTATATAATTAGTTTAGACTGATCCTGGAGAATGAGTTTTTAATATCTATACACAGTACTTGGTACTAATCATGCTTTCATTACTCTTAACTACATTACTTCAAATACAGCTTTACACAAGCAAATGGCAGTCACTGTTTTGCTAAATACAGGTCCCAACAGGCTCCACTTTAATCCCACAAAAAAGTTCATTTACAGTGAACATATTAGATGCTCAAAAGGAAACCAATACTAGTAAAGTATCCGAGAACATTTTGGAGCCTCTTGGGTCTTATTCTGTTTACTAATTGGCACAACAATCTTTTTCTTAACAGCCAGTGCACAGGTAAATGTCTAAATAGCCCATTGTAATTATGAATTAGAGCAGTCTGGATTATTAGAGCTTACTGTTAATATACATGCCAGAATCTGTAAAATACCTCACGGCCCGTTAGGGATGAGGAGATGAATGGATATTGACTTGACTGAAGCCTGTTTTCATCATCATGGTTCATCTGGTCACTGGCGACTCTGCTTGTTAGGAACCCACTAAGTTAAATTGATTTTGTCTTTGTGAAGTGATACATCTGCTTACTCTTTTGTTCTCTAGGCTAATTTTGTTGCATTTTTTTTTTTTTAGTATCGTAAAGTCAACATGGGCACACAGGTCCCATTTGCAGATCTGTTGGTTTATATTAGATATGTTATTTTGGATACACAGCGCTGGACATTCTGGGATACAAGGGATTTCAAAGTAGGGAGTCTGAGGCAAAGAACCCCCCATTTACTATTTCAGTGGTGGATATATAAGATGACAATGGCTTTATTTTGGTCTCCATCACCCACCATAGATGGCTTTCCATCTTTCCCCTCTGGCTACTCTTGGGAGAGGGGCTAATCCACCACCCAGGCAACACCCAAGGCAGGAAAGCAGAAACATGATGAGCGTTTTCCTTCTAGTCCTTGGGCAAGATTTCCAGACAAGTTTTCATGTTCTGAGGACAATCTCACGGGTACAAAAGTGTGTCTTTTGAATAGGAAAGATCTTCTAAAGCGTATTAGATTGGAGCAAAGTCACCTTAAGCAGAACTGTATTTAGCACTACTCCTTGTCTACTTGAAAGGTCTCCTCTACGTAAGACAAATGCAACCACACTGTTCTTTTATAGATGCAACGTGCTTGTGACGTTTAACCAGAAGCAGAGTAAATGGGTTTAAAGAAGTGCCATTACTGGGGTGAGCGTGCCACCATGGACTGCACCTCACCGTCTACTGCCGTGGACTGACCAGCATCTGTAACTGTTCATTCACAACTAACAATTATCACACACAGCTGCAGTGGCAAAGCTCTGGGTTGGTCTCAGCGCGAATGTGGAGAAGATGCAGTAAGGGACCAGCTGAGAACCAGGGTCCTTATTGAATGCAGTCCTATGGGGGTTACCCGGCCTGTTGGGGACCAGGAGATATTGTTGATAAGTGAGGGTCCGGGTGACCAAATTTTAACATTAAAAAGGCCAACACATGACAGTTGCACTGTTTGGGATAGAAAACTTCATTGCACACAGTACCATTTCTGTCCAAACGGGATAACAAGCAGGATTTGGCTTTTCCCAGGGGCGTAGTGGAGGGTTATCTTTGCCAACATCTATTCTTTTGCTGAGCTGCAAACACCAGTCTCCTCCAAAGACCACCAAGGTGAGGAAGGTTTAAGTGGCCCCCTCCTGAGTGCCCTCACCTGCTAGAATGTTCTAGTATGTTCTGCTTCTTTCCTCTCTGACTTCATTTCTGATCGCCAAACCTTATTGCCACTTTCATTTATGTCACCATTCGTAACCTTTGGCGTCTATCTTAGCCACAGCTGTCTTCTATCTTCTATTTAGTTGTTTTTAACCCAAATGTTAAAGATTAAAAAAACTTTGAAATATATCAGGAAGTACTGAGAATAGTAAAACAAATACTAGTGATATCAACTACCCAGAGTGAACAAATATTTACTATCTTTTTCCTACTTCCTGGCTTTTAATATTTTATATATGGCTCCAGCAATCTTTGCCATATACAGGTATCCCAGGCCAAAGAGAACATGTCTTTCCCCCACCACGTTTGCCTTTCTCTCCATTTTTCAGGGAGAGAGGTTACATTCAGGTTTACAACCTCTTTGAGTATTTCTACTGCTAGGTGCCTAAGCAATTAATGTAAGTGGGTTCTTACTATTTAATATGATTATACTGGAAATTCAAGTGACAGTAAAAGTAAGTAATTATATAAAAATATAGGACATCTCTTAAACATCAAATTGGATAAATTCCTTTCAGGAAAAACTGCTCCAGATCCTCATTCCTGGAAGCTTTGTCTAGGAATTATATTCCAGAATAAGATATGAGCTACAGACAATCTGGACAAAGATACTATTCTCAAAGTTTTATCTTCTTGAAATTAATAATTCCACTATAATGAATATCACAATTTTTCAGAATAATTTAAGCACCAAATAAATTAGTAAGTAAAGAAGGGAAAAAAGCTTCCTTTATAGTATCATGCCAATTAATTTTATAAAATAAAAAGAATGAAATTAGAAAAATATTTTTTCCAACCATTATAATAAAAATAGATTCAGGTGAGACTCATCAGTCAGTACTAAAACTAGTGGGTGAAAAAGTCTGGAGAGGTCCAAGATTATAAGAGAGTTAATTTGTGGACAGTTACTCTCCACAAATTACTGATTGACCCTTGGCTAAGGCCAAGCCTTCCAAATTTATCCATCCAAATGCTCCTACGTTTCCTTTTGTAATCCGAGTTTACCTTGTCATTAAGGGGACAAACTGACATCATGTGCCTCTGATGTGATACACTGAGGACATACAGGCACGCATATTGTTCTTTTCAAAATGTGTGACTTCAGTCTAATCCCGAGAAGACATCAGAGGAAGGCAACCTGAGAAAGCCATTTCTGTAAAACAATCGGCCATTACTCCTCAAAACTCTAAAGGTTATAAAAGTCAAAGAAAGGCTAAGGAACATTCTATATTTAAGAAGACTAAAGAGATACGACAATTAAATGCAAAAAGGAATCCTGGAGTGGATCTTGTTCCAGGAAAAAAACATAACTGATATAAAGGACATTTTAGGGACAATAGGCATAATTTGGATATGGGCTACAGATGAGATAATGGAAATGTGTCAATGTTAAATTCCCTAATTTTGTTAATTATACGATAACCATGTAAGAAAATGTCTTTTTATTAGAAAATATGTACTGAAGTTTTTGTTGTTGTTTTATAGGGAGACTCTTGTCTCCTTTTTTTTTTTTTTTTGCAGTTTTTGGCCAGGGCTGGGCTTGAACCTGCCACCCCTGGTATATAGGGCCAGTGCCCTACTCCTTTGAGCCACAGGTGCTGCCCTGCACTGAAGTATTTAGCAGTGAATCAGGATGAGTTTATTTATTTAGTTTTAGAGACAGAGTCTCACTTTGTCGCCTGCAGTAGAGTGCTGTGGCGTCACAGCTCACAGCAACCTCCAGCTCTTGGGCTTAGG